CCTAGTGAGGATTAAGCGGTGTATAGATAATGGATGGATGTTTTTGGACTGTGTGGGAGGAAGCCGGAGAACCCGGAGAGAACCCGGAGAGAACCCACGCTGCACGGGGAGAACATGGAGACTCTACGCAGAAAGATCCCAGGAGTCCTCACCGGGACACGAACCGTCGACCTTCTTATAGTCAACATGCAAATGAAACATTATTTTTTTCTGTGATTTGACAAAATATTTTCTGCAATTTAACAAAACAGGGATTTTGCTCATTTAAATACAGTAAAGATTGTATAAAAATTATAAAAGAACAAAACACCATTTATAAAAAATACATTTTTTTGATGCGTACATTTCTGTTTTGCGGTTCACATGTAAATTAATGCTTTTTTTTCTGTGATTTTATTTGGTGTCATCTGACTGAGTTGCAGTAGTTGAGAAAATCAGTGCATGAATTGCTTTATTTTTTTTTTTTACAGGTCAGAATGTAAGAGAAATGATTTGGAGATGGTTGCTGTCTGAATAAAGCAGGACTGGGCAACTTTTTGGATCTGTGCTGTCAAGGCTTAGATCTGATCAAAAGGACTCAGAATGGTCCATAGTTTTGTTCTTATACATTCTTGGGTGTTTTTATTGCATGTTTATTGTCTTTGCTGTTGGAGGAGCTGATAAAAATTGCAAAAATATCGTATTTTGTTGCATCTGTGACGTGTTAACTTGCATTTTAACAAGCTCTAGTCGTACGTTTCTCTTTTTAAAACGGGTTCTCAGTGGGACCTTTGATAGCTTGTGTCTGTTTTAAAGTTCTTGCTGGTTCTTTTCCCTCCATTCATGCTGTCCTGCTGCTTAGTCTGGGCTCAGTATTGTCTCAGGGCCACACCCAGGAACGTTAACTGTGGTCCAACTGACCCTGAGCTTCCTAAGATCATTACCAACCGGTCACAGGAACGGTGAGCTGCGTAAAAGCTTTCCCTGGGCCTTCACCTTGACAATGCTTGGCAATTATTCTCTTCCTTATCTCCCCAGAGTCCTCCGACTCCTCACTATCAGCGCAGTTCACAGAACAAGAGCTCGATGGGTCATTTTCTTCTTTTGAATGGCAGATTATAAGACAGCACTGATACAAACTGAACACAATAACCGGCAAGAAATGTTAAAACAACACACTTATCGCCGCTTTCAAGGGTTGTCAATCATTTTTCTTCTGGCAGTTTTCACATTTTTGCAGAAGGAGCAGCTCTTTCCCCCTCCTCAGCTTCTTTGTTTTAGGTCTATGGAGAGCCAGGGGCACGCAGGTAGTAACGATGAAAGAGCGTTGAGTTTCACCACTTTTCAAGAAGAATGGAGCATTGTTTCACTGGGGTGTAAAGGTGCCAGCACTTTTGGCAGCAGAGCTCCACGATTACACAAGAAAAGCTACACCCTGAGCATGATATAGTGCGCTAAATAACTTTTCAGTATTGCCTTTTGGAGTGTTTATAAAAAGGCCGTAATGTAACACGAGACAATGGAGGAAACAGAGCAGAGCACAACAGGTTTACAGAACAAACACAAGCAATCTGGGAACACAAGTAGCTATTAGAGGCAGACAAAAGAAAGTACAAATTAGACGTTACATAAACACGACTACACTTTTTCCACTCTTTAAAAGCGTGCCCCCTGAAATGAGACAACGTTTTCTCATTAGTCTTTGTGGATGGAACCGTTCAGGAAAATCAGGCTTTCTTTGACTCTTCCAGTGAAACAAACCAACCCTTGAAGTGTTCATGAAAACCTGCCAATACAAGCATAAATTATTACGAGACGCTCATTTTCTAATAAACATTGGAGCACAGGTTTACGCAACAGGTTTCCAATGATTCTGGGTACTTGTTTCCAAAAAGGAGATTAAAAAACAGCACCTGCTTCATTGCTACACTTACTTTCTCATCCATGCATCCCTTGTTGTTTCAGTTTAACCGATCGTATCATGCATACTTCTGTTTGTATGTTCAGACTTACATTCAATATAAAGAAGAATACAGTCAAAATCAAACAAAATCCATTCATCATAAGTTTAAACCCATTGGTGTTGG